GCTGTATTGCTGCACTGACGCATTGATACAAATTTGTGTGTAATCGGTAATCACTGTCATCAGTGTATTCAGTATTGCGTTCGCTGATATGATAAATCGAAAGACGGAGATCGATTGAATTATCTGTGGGGCGTTAGGCAGTATCCAATGAAAACTGAGCTTAGCTATTTTACACATGCGACGACCACTATATCGAGAGTAAATTCAGTCTTATCTTTCTATATTTATTTATATTTATTTTTAGTATATCCCTGATTCAGTGATTCAGGTTGATACCGATACATAGTCTGATATTTACATACTCGCATAATGACGGTGTATAAATATTGAGTATAATATTTGGTCAAGACTAGATCACGAACGACATAGAGTCATATACTGCCACTGCACACACTACATCGCTGTCCAAGTAAGGTTCATCATAATGGCGAAAACACAGGAGATTGGTACCGAAGAATTCGACGTCGAGAAGGTATGCGCCATTGTCGATCCATTGTCATGGATTCTTCGTTGAGTTTCTGTTCGACAGAACTGACTTAGTAGTCACTATGCGAACGCATCACTTGAGAAGAAACTAGTCTCACGCTTCAAACAATTAAATAACGCTGGGATTTCTACAGATGCTTGTGATTTACATTCTATGGTAGTGTCCTTGGATCTTCGCTCTTCAGCTCAAGGCGGCTGTCCACTGTGTCTCACGACATCGAATTTTGCTTCCAGGGATAGTTGCGGTTGCCTCTCCACATTCCTGCTATACTTTTCACAATGTCTTACGAGTATGGTTTACAGTATCACCGCCGGGGGGTTTCCTACGAAGATAAGACCATCTTAGACTTGCAATTGTGTGCACACCTTCTGCGGGGCTCTCATGACAACTGGTAGGGAATTTTATTCCCACACCCATGCAAGCGAATTCTTTCTTTTACAGTTTCTCTTGTCGCTAATTTGATATACCTTGTTCCACTCTCGCTGATCTCCAGACTATCAAGGCCTTTGAGGCTGTTCCCAAAGACGGCAGCAGACCTGCAGTATGCCTAACGAAAGAGTACATCGCCGCGATTAAGGAGATGTGCAACTTTTTTAACATCTGTGGATCGGTATGTACGTTTGTCCAATTATCCCGTGTTGCTCAGTGTCCTTCTCTGCTCTGAGTGAAACTAGTGGCCTATATAAGCAATCCATTTATCTATCACATTCGTCACATTCGTCCAGCTCTAGTGAGTCACACGATTGCTGCGTAGGTGAAACCTACTTATGTGTCATCTTCGTTCAGCTTTGGTCCGAAGGGCGAATGTGCAAGAACTGATAATTTCGGTTATATGCTCGCCGACAACAGGGCTTTGGCTTCGTTACATCAGACGTGTCACAGAAGTTGATACTATTAGAGAAACACCGCACTGAGAGGGATTTGCCGAACGGCATTGACAACTTACAGGTATGCAGCAGTCATTTGCACCTCCTACATGTAGTTGTCAAGCATAGAGTATCAGTGCAAGTTGAGTGTTACAGTTTTTGCAATCTGATGACCCGCGAGAGTGTTGCGTGAACAAACCATAGGGCTTGCTTATACTGCAGAAGCCGAGGTGCAGGTATTAGTCGGGTCATTCGGTGAATATGCATGTCTTCGTTGTTTTGCATGTGGACATGAGTGGATACAAATACTCATCGTACGCATGCTTATTGTGATTGACACATAGAGACTGCCCCGCTCACTTCCTTTGCTGACATAAGGGCACCGTATCATGGGTACCGCTTCTCCACGTAAGAGAAAGTGCAGTATCTATCACATGTGAAAACATCAATAGGAAATGTGCAACCGAGAAGGAAGGTTGCAAGACGTGTATATTGCAGATTGTATAGTGGACACTTGATTTGAAGTATAATTGATAACTGTACGGTCGAGAGACTGAGTCACCGGTATTAAAGTCTATAGTGGACACCTGATTTGAAGTATTATATACAGCTGTACGATTGAGAGACTGAGTCACCGGTATTACGGTCCTGTTGCAAGGCATGCATGTTGTGTATAGTGGACATCTGATTTGAAGTATTATTTTTAACTGTACGATTGAGAGACTGAGTCACCGGTATTACTGTCCTGTTGCAAGGCATGCATGTTGTGTATAGTGGTCACCTGATTTGAAATATTATTTATAGCTGTACGATTGAGAGACTGAGTCACCGGTATTAAGGTCCTGTTGCAAGACGTGTATATTGCAGATTGTGGACACTTGATTTGAAGTATAGTTTCTAACTGTACGATTGGGAGACTGAGTCGCCGGTATTAAGGTCCTGTTGCAAGACGTGCATATTGTGTATAGTGGACACCTGATTTGAAGCATAATTTATAACTATACGATCGAGAGACTGAGTCACCGGTATTAATGTCCTGTTGCAAGACGTATATGTTGCAAATTGTATAGTGGACACCTGATTTGAAGCATAATTTATAACTGTACGATCGAGAGACTGAGTCACCGGTATTAATGTACTGTTGCAAGACGTATATGTTGCAGATTGTATAGTGGACACCTGATTTGAAGCATAATTTATATCTGTACGATCGAGAGACTGAGTCACCAGTATTAAGGTCCTGTTGCAAGACATGTATATTGCAGATTGTATAGTGGGCACATGATATGAAGTATAATTTATAACTGTACGATCGAGAGACCGAGCCCCTGGTATTAAGGTCCTGTTGCAAGACCTTTATGTTGCAGATTGTATAGTGGGCACATGATATGTATAATTTATCTGTACGATCCAGCGACTGAGTCATCGTTATAGAAGGTCTCGTGATCGGTGTGCACTCGCGGTTATTGTGTGATGCTTGTACTATCGTTTTAAAACTAAAGCTCAAGTCTGAGTGCACGATTCAATACACAGGGAATGATGCAATGGGAAGAAGACAATGACATGTTCGATAAGGACGTCAAGTACAACGGTGCTAGAACACTTCTGCGACTCAACAGGGCATCTCGTATGTCGTTTTTGCTTTTTAGGCACACTACACTGCATGCCTACTCCAAAGATAGGCACAGACATCAGGATGCCAATTCGCCATACAATCCATTTTTGTTGTGTTTTAAATAGCCATCTTTTGACGGCATGAGTTCATCGTATCCAATGCACACTTTGTCCACTTCCTCTCTATTGCCAGAATTTGTGATGCTGTTGATCAAATACATCATGGAACGGGAAAAGGCATCCATGTCGTCTAATGCGTATGATGCGTATTCTGAGACACTCATGCGATTCCACTCGTGGATGATTAAGAAGGCTGTGGGCGTCGCAGTCTACGCTATTCCATCACGACACACCTTGTTGAAGAACATGAAAATGACGGAGGACGAAGGTACGATGCGCTGACTGAGTGGGGTTCGAGTATCGAGGGGTTTCTGTTCATTATGCATCAATTGTTTGTATTGAATAGCTAGCTCAGCCAATATCTGGCGTTGATACCGTTTAATGTGCTCGAAAGTATTCCTTTATTATATCATAACGCAGATGCGATCTCTCGCTTGTTTAATTGCGAATTCTCGATTGCTGTGCTTGGAAATCTGTGTGTGTTTATCGGTGGCCGCTCCACTCATTGCTTATGTTTTCGTTGTCCTTCAGCACGGGAGTCCCTGCCCCGTTTAGTAGTGGCAATCGACACAGTATTCAGCGCTTTGGACAAGCACTACACAGAGCATAAACTGCAAAAGCTACCTTGAGCTGGTCATCTCAGGTCGCCGTTTCCAAAACTGTAAGCTCGCTCTACCACACTCTTAACATACGACTATATGAACTACCCGGTGCAGTGGCAAGCCAGAGGCCGGACATTAGTACTATTGAGCCGTGCTCTGTTTGTAGACCACGACGTGGTTTTAGTTTTCTAGTAGCTGAATTATAAACCATCTAAATACTAATACCAATAAGAGCTTCATTTATGCTGTTCATGACGACATGACGGTGTACCATTTGATTGCGTGAGCTCTGAATTTGGTGCAAAACTAAGATTGCCAAACCCATTCCGTCCATCTAATAGGTTTTCGGCTGAACCACATCATCGATTTTGTCTGTGAATGTGAGAATTCCCGTAGCGTATGATGAACATTTTAAAAAACCAAACCTTATCTAAATCTTAGTTTAAAACCCAAATCTTAACGAATTAAACTGCTTAGTTTGAGCGAAAAGCAACAAGGATACTTACCTGACGAAATATTTCAAGCAAAGGTAGGCTATGAACAGAAAGACTATTATCATCACAATCAATACGTAAAGATCCAGAAGAAAATGAGAAGGCTCAAACCCGAGCTCGATAAGTATTTGTGTGCCTGCCACCTGGATGTGGACCGAGAATTCAGATTAGGGGGGCTCGATATGAAATGGGCATTGAACTTTGTATATTCCAAGATAAAACAAGTGAGCCATCCGTGCCATAATTGCGGGTGAATTATTGTTAAACCGAAAAACATACCTGGGTGTGAGCATCAAGGATTTTTCCTTGTATATAAATTCCATCCATCTCGTTGATACATAAAGCCTCGTACCCAAAGTTGAAGAAACTTATATAATGAAGCCACCTCAAATAGGGTGGCATGGTCGCTGTGTGAAAGACGGACGTTGTAGCTTATTATTGATGTATTTGCGTTGAGACAATGCGATAATAGAATTCCTGACGTTGCCGATTTTTAAATGTCAGCTCTATCTCTTAGGGTGGCTTTGTATCATGCCTGGAAACGACAAAGCTGAAATACTCGGTGGAGAAAATACATACTTTTGTTGTTGAAAATATTGGTCAGCATCAGGGAGAATAGCATTATGATACTCGCGATTAGGTTCCCAGTAGACAGGCGTGAGCACATGACTCCAATTATCATACATATGCTGGTAGCTACCAGATTCACTAGGACCAGAGCAACCAGGAAGTACGTGAAGTATACGATTCCAGGCCGCAGTCCGATCATGAAGTAAGCGATGCTGCCCATCAACAGCGGGGGTATAATTCTGAGCGGCACGATATCAAACAGGATCTTGGAGATAAAGTATGTAGACGGGTAGTAGAAGCGATTCGCACGCTCGTGCATGTATAGAGCACGTTCAGAGTAGAACAATTCCAAAGACGACAAGGACCCGAAAGCGAGGAAGGCGCACAGGATCAACAGCACTCCAAGTCGCTGCTCGAATTGGCCGACCAGGGATTTAGTGGCAACTGCACCCTCATCTGCGGTGTGAAGAATGTGCGACGGGTTAGTTATATATAGAAAACGAAAAAAAATACACAGTTTTTGTGTCCGCAATGAATGATGCACGTTTTTTTTTCATGCGTAGCGAAAGCTTGCGAACACTATTGTATCAATGGAACTCGCGTCTAATTCAATTCAGTAAATACTAGACTTAGACCCGGGTCCTTTTTGCATACAGTTTGTGCACAATTCAACTCTCAGCAACAAGCATGTTGCACAGAGTGCGAATATTTGTTTTGGCCAACTCAATATTCACCACACATACCCGAGCCAGTATCTTCATTCATTCCGTAGTACACAGTACCTACTACAAGGCCAATCAGAGTTGCAGATAAGAGATGCCCGAAAAAGAGCATAGGATTGCGAAACAAATTCAGCATAGTGCGGTTCGAAAGCACGACAATCTGCGTGCTGAAGCTAGCACTGGTAGCGGCAGATTTGGCTTTAGATTTCCTTCGCAACCATCGTCGATTCGCACTGGCGCCTGTGCTTGCATGCGCAGTTGCTGCATTACTACTCAGTGGCCTCCTCTCAGACAATGACTCATTAATGTCTATCAGGTCTTCATCGATCCCGGTGTCCTCTTCACTCCAGAATCCGTTGGCATCGTCTAGATGTGTTCCGTTGTCTATGCGCCTATTATCGCCCAAGTCACCGCTGAATATTTGCCCGGCGCCGACCCTTAGATTGCGACTCGTATCGGCGCTGACATCCACCCTCCCCAGTATACCTTCATTGTGATGTCCCGTTAAGTCATTCTCGGAGTCATCCCCTCGATATAAACCGTCGTCCTCTCCATCAGTAGGACTGATACCGTCTGTGTATAAGAGCGCGTCTTCTCGTTCGTACATTAGACGATTCTTCTGGTAGTGGTTCACCATATCGGTAGTGCTGACGGTGCTATTAGCGACGTTTCTCATTTGTCTCTCGTTTGTAGGGGATCTCGGATGTCCAGAAACGCTTTTACTAGCACCCGAAACCCTGCTATCGCCCATTTGGGTTCCCAAGTCCAGATCATTGCGTGAATGTGGCCTAGAATGATCGGCGTGACCGTAGTCCGCCGAGGCAGACGGCGTGGGCCTGGTATCTTCCAGGATTTCATCAAAAAGAAAACTATCATCATCCGTGGAGTCACTGTCTCGATCACGGCCCAGTGGTCTCGTTGATGAGCCACCCACTATGGACACAGTGTGAGTATTCAGTTCCACGTCACCGAACTCTCCATAGCTCAGATTTCGTGCAGACGGATCTGCTCGCAAAAGACTGTCATCACTTTCTCTACGATTTCCCGAAGTGAGAAGAAGTGATCGAGCCATGTCCTCCTCTTCTTCCCTTTCCCGCATCTCAGCTTCCACTATGGCATCGATCAAGAAATCGGCTGGATTGTATGTGTTTGGACAGTGCAGTCCCATGGTCGCGAAGTATGTGATCGCCTGGTTTGCTGTACACAAAAATAAGTACAGGCGGCTAGCATTTGATATGAGAAGTGGAAGCTACGATTTTCATTAAAGGTATACAACACAGTGGACTTGTAAAATACTGTGATATAAGTGGGGTATAAATCGAAGTACTAACCTGGGCCGAAGTATATATTCTGTCCTTTGCTCAGTAGAAGTAGTTTATCGAACATAGCAAATATATTCGAACGTGGCTGATGTATGGTCATGATCACATTTGTGCGATCTTGACGTGCAAATTTCGTCAGGCAACTGACCACCAAATGTGCGTTGTAGGAATCCAGGCCTGAGGTCGGTTCGTCAAGATATAGGATACTTGGACAGGTTACGAGTTCAGTTCCGATGCTAACTCTCCTATTAGTAAAAATGAGAATAAATTCGGATATGTTATACCCTTGAATATCCGAGCGGCCCTGAAAAGTGGCGAAAATTAGGTGAAAACAGTCCGTACCGGCCAGCAATAGGACTACTACCGTCCCGATTGAATAAAAACCTACCCGACGCTCGCTACTAGTCAATAATCAAGCGTCCCCAATGGTTAATAAAAAAGTATGTTTCTGCCATCTTGAAATAAATAAGGTTATACCTATTTGCTGTTTTTTTAAACAGAGCCCAGGATCGAGAAAACAGACTTGATGAGAAAATAATCGTTTGTAAACAGGGTATGACTTCAGCCCAATGCGAAGTTAAAAACACAAGGCCTGATCCTAAAACAACATGCCTCTTTTCTCCACCAGAGATTCCTCTTGCAAAGGTCCCCCCAATCCGGGAGTGTGCGATGTGGCTGATCGACAGGTCATTCATGACGGTTCTACACAATATGGTGCAAGGAAAGACTTAAAATCATAATGACTCAGATTCTACGTAAGGTACAAGGAGAGACTTACATTAAAATGACCGTGTGTTACCTATGTGAGCGAGTGTGACCAGCGGCAACAATAAGATGGATAGCACATCTGCAGTACATACTTCACGCGCCGTTGTTTAACGTCATGAGGTACACAATCCGGCAGACGTAGTTCAGCGCTGTACATAAGGGTTTCCGCCACAGTGAGTGTATCGATCAGCAGATCTTCTTGATCAACGAAGCCTATATCACGCTTGAATGCAGACGTTCGTTGTTTCCCTCCAATGGTGATAGACCCCGACGTGCGCCCCGACTTGTCCCTCATACTAAGTATGTCCATCACGGTTGATTTTCCAGCACCTGGGCGAGGGAAAGGAACAGCGCATACACACAGGTCAGCAACTAGAAACCCTTAAATGCCCAGCGACACATGCAATCGAGGGATGTGATAAGTAATTCTGGGACACATGCAACTTTGGACCTACTGGAGCGTATGGTAGTTGACAACAGTTCCTCATACTTGTGATACCGTTCAATTAAATACCAACTGTCACCGCACGTACCCGAGGGGCCCATAATAGCCAGCAATTCTCCGGGTTGAGAATAACCACTCACGTTGTATAGGATTTGCTTCGCTTTCTTTTTCCTCCCGATTTCATAGCAGAGTTCGTCGAAAGCAAGAGTGCGGATGCCTCCATTCTGCAGAATATCAATTGTCATTTTCGGGATTAATTCAGATATAGGAAAACAAGACAGACTCAGAAAATTCCGGCACATAACACCTGCACAAGGACATCATCGGGTGAATTTCTCACCTTGTTTCGCAAACCACGTAGGTACGTGTTTACATCCTGGTGGTTGAATTCGATATGTTCCTTTCGCAGCCTTTGTTTCCGAAGGAAGTAGCACAACAGGAATCCTGCAATGATCATACCAACAATGCAGACTCCACCCACCATAACGATGATCGCAAGGGGCACTACGCTATCCACATTGGGATCGGATGGTACAGGAGTTGAAGACGCTATTATCCCGGGAGATGCTGACGGTATGGGAGACGCATGAACGCATTCGCCACCTTTGCATCTGATGTGTACCCCGCCCCTTGCAATCACGTCCAAGTGCTTTTCTGAAATGGCGCATAATCCTGCACGGAGAAGGATTTAGATAAAGAAGAAAGGCAATCAACAGCTATACAAAATCATCAGCCAGCTCCTTGCACTCGTATATAATATTGCACAAGCCATATATAAAATTGCACAAGCCATATTTAATATTGCATAAGCCATATTTAATATTGCACAAGCCATATATAATAATGCACAAGCTATACCTGTACTCGGATCGCACAAAAAATCCATAGGACCGCCGACAACCCCTACAATGCCCCTCAATATAGTCGAGCACTGTTCGCTTCCTGGTTCACAATTCATCATACAATTCACCTGCATGACGCAATACAGAAACACTGAGCATGATATACTAAGGGGCGCTCTAGTGTACTTCCATACCCATCAGACCATTCGACGGGCCTTGGCTGCCAAATCTTGATGCTGGACCATTTTTTCAATAAAGATACTGCAAGCGTCATGAAACGATACTCGGGAACTTTATGACAGAAGCCGTCGCCGTAATTTTGTTCGACATAATAATCACATTTTAACTTCCGAGATGTGAAGCGATACGCATATCCGCCCACCTGATTGCACCTCCAAGCGAAGCCTCCTGCGGCGGCTTCTGCGGGATGCTGCGAGGTCGTATCATCGCAATCTTCTACCAAACAGGAGAAGAGATCTATCCGGTTAGTCTTCGGCTCCTCTTTTCTCAAGACTGTCGACCGTGTAGAGGGAAGCGAGCGTACTTTGAATATTACTTGCAGAGCTTTATCGGAGAGACGAGGGTGTTGATGCGCGTTCACAAAGAAAGGGACAAAGACACACGTATGCCATTTAACAATTCTTGGCAGATACGTTCTCATAAATACGGAATTCATAAGTAAGGCAGCGAGTGTTAGATAAGAATTTGACATTCCCCCGCAAAAACCGCATCATCTCTACATACGCTGAAAGGTTCCACCACGCTGGGTCACGTTCCCTTCCTGCGTAACGTATAACGCCACACTAACCACAGCGGGCTGGCCAAGTATGCCGGCGATAGCTGAGTCAGTGGTCTCACACGAGTAAGTCTTGTTGGCCAGAGGTATCCAGTTTTGATTACACCGAGATGAAGGTGTGCCTTGTGCTTCACCTTGGCAAGCGGCGTCCGTCTGACAGGCTGTGATGTGGGTTGGCACGTGTAAGGGTCGCTATTGAAGGTGATATTTGGGTTATTTGATGCATATACGTACGTGGTCAATATTCAAAAAAAAGTCTTTAACTACGTTGGTGCTAGTGGATCGAGCAGAACATGATCACCCGCCCCAGCACATACACGTACACATTCGAGCGGCAATAGAACCACCAGTTGCCGGATGTGAGACAATATGCACACCATCAACTTAAGCACATACGCACACCATAAACTTAAGTACATACCCTGGCACCACAATCCATCCCAGCCCTCGGTGCCATTGCAATTACAGGAGCCCTGAGTGTCCATTATTCCTCCGTGGAGACAGGTTATATCAGCGCATGCATCCCCTACGAAACCAGGTGGACACTGACTACAAAGTGAGTGAAAGTATGAAACATCAATAGAAGGATGTGAAATATTAAACATGTGAGGGCAGATAATGATACACAGTTCATGATCGATTGTACACGAGAAACGCACTGAAAAGTATAGGCCATCATCAAAAGCAGTAGGCCCTGATCAATAGCAAACTAGGTGCAGGAATAAACATATTCGTAACGTCAGAGATTTATATTCAACTAGAGACGAGAAACCCAGAAAAGTACACGACAACTTTGAGCAAGCAGAACGGTGTCTACGAAAATTAAATATCACGCTTATACGTGCAGCACAGAATAAGAACTACATTTCAACATTATATATATATATATATATACATATATATACATATATATATATATATAAATAAATATATATATATATATATATATATATTATTATATACACAACACACACACACACACACACACATAATATATATATATATATAGTAATAATATATACTAGACTACACTAACA